TTTTTTTGTAAATACATACATTTATACATAGTAACACCCAGACTCATCACAGAAATTAATCGAACCCGGGACCTCTCGGCATAGTAGTCCGTTCCGAACCACTACACCAAACGGCCGACAAGATGTTTCGTATAAAACATTTTAAAATGGGGCTTAATAAAATACACATATTATTATGTAAATAAGGCGAATAAAAAGTATTCAATAACAAGGGCTCTTTAAACTCGCTTTCATTTACTGTCGTATCGTTGAATTCGCTTTATAATAAATCACAAAATTTGTGGAAAATCATTAAGTGCTGCTTGGTATTTTACCATAAATTTTTTTTCGGTTCATTTTTATAATCGTATAAAAATGCACCGAATCACCATCACGTTATCGTCCAGGAGAAGGAATTGAAGAAACACATGAGAAACCAACAACTCATATAGAAAAAATTAAAATTGATAATAGTGCTGAAGATATTAAAGCTGCTAGAAAAAAACCTGGAACACAAGTTTTAATAATTTTCGAAGAGTTGAGAAGAAACTCCATAAGCGCGGCGCGATGGTTTATAGACCAAGTAAAGAATATTAAAAAAAAAGAAGAGAAACCAGCTACTAGGGTTAATATCCCTTATTTTAAATTACGATCGCCATTAAAAAAAAAGCAAAAAGCCGAAGAAAGGGCTAAGGAAAATCAAAAAAGAAGATACTTATACCTCGAAGAACTGTATGACAAATATTTTATTGTGCCTGAAACAGATGCAGATAACCAACCCGGTCCTTCGGGTGTAACAGCTAGCCGGGATGGCGTCGGACGAGACAAGACGAAACGGCTACCGCGTCTTGTCAGCCCAACGGTGGACTTGAAGAAACTACCAATTGAACGCCCGCGCCTTGTCAGCCCAACGGTGGACATCAATCCTTTAAGAAAAAGGCAACCACGCCTCGTCAGCCCAGCGGTGGACGTGCAACTAGACAGACTAGTAATGTCGCAAGCCGCAAAAGCAAGAAAAAAGGCCAGGGAGTACCTAAATAATACTATCAATAAATCCCTCGAAAAGATTGAGCAAATACGAAAGGAGCAGGCCCGACGTCATGCCGTGGATCTTCAGTCCCACAGCAAAACCTTTAAAAAATCCTTATCTGATTTGGAAAAGTCCACCAAGGATCGTCGGAATAACAAAATAATGATAAAAAAAGAAACTGAAGTGAGTTTCGTTGTGGGAACTAGGCATTACAAGTACACGTTAAAAAAGTTCGAAGAAGTGAAGAACAAAAAAATCATAAATTCTACCAAGACCATCGATGTATCCAGCAACCCTTGCGACTATACAACATGCGGTTGCAATAATGGAAACAGGCGTTCCGATGGAGAGTCCGCGTCAGGAGCAATCCGGACACGGACGAGTGTTTCTAGGCGATCCTCCGATTCAGTGGCGGCAGGTAAATATAACACGCGGCTCCATGTTAAGTTTCAATGCTTTGTGAATCGGAACACTGCATTCTGCTTCAATGTTGGTAGTTGGTATTGTGGATTCTTTTTAGTCATTATTTCTCAGTTGCTATCACACAGTTTGATGTTATTTTCTGTGCTACATTTTTTTTTATTTACAGCCAATTTGATATCTGGCATGTCTTTTTTAAATATGCTGGATCGCGAATTTATACGATGACATGGTCCTCCATTAGACTTATGAAAATGATGCAAGATAAATAATGTTTTGTTTCTTGCATTATGCATTTTATGTCAACTTAACATAAAATATTTTCGGGGAAAAATCATCTTTTTTTTGTTGTAAATAATTTTCGGATTTATCCGACCCCCAGCTCAAATATTTATTTATTTATTTTTATGCCACAGCAACGGAGAACAAACAATAACAGTACATTTGACACAACAATACAGTCTGAGCTCCGATTACATTTAACACAGAACATTTAAATAATACAAAAATAACAAAAACGAGCTTAAACAACAGATAGTTTCACTCATTTATTGCTCAGTAAACTCAGTAAAATACAACTAAATAGAACCGAAACTGCGTAAACGCAGGAAAAAACTAGACTATGTTGACATAAACGCAGTGCCAAGTGTTTAGCTCCTAAGCTACTATTATATCATTGCACTATGGCAGTGTCTTCGGTTGGCTCGTAAAAATTATACACTCAGCATCAAATAAACCGCACCTCCCGCGACACGAACCCTAAAGATTTTCTTCTGACACAATCATGGTGCCCCAATAATATTGGTCTTATTTGAAAGACAATGAAAAGGCTTCACTTGGGGCTCAACTCTGGGACCAATTAGGCCAATTTTTGTGATTACAAATCCAAATAATGATCTTACGTGTCCTCATTAACAGATGGATAGCAATTAATCCCACTTTAACAGTTTTATAGCAAGTTGGCTTAAGCGTAACTACCTGTCGCTCTAAGAAGAGACTCTGGATCCTTCTAAAAACACATTTTGGGGTAAAAACCTTTCCGTTAATTAAATAAAGTTTAGAACTAGGCTTTCAAACGGTACCAATTTTGGTGGGAAGTGGAGATGCATACTTTTGAAAAGTTGTTGCGGGAGGTGCGATTTACTTGATGTTGAGTGTAGTGGAGTGACTATCGTCGCTTTTATTATTGACAAACTGCCTTCAAACCCCCGAGGGGGCGGTGCTGCACTGACCTTCGTTAAGTCAACTTCGCAGTCAGGCCCAATCTGTTCTGACGTTCCGATCGAGCCGGGCCATTTTTGACAATCTTGAAATAAAAATTTAAATTCAATATTAAACATTTGGGGTATTGTCACTGAAAATGAGTCAAATACACCCTGGAGATTGGTACGCTTACATTACTGGTAGGAACAGGCCTCCGGTCGTTTACTACCGGCCCGGAGTGTTTTACTATAGAGGTAAAGTACACTTACTCTTTACATCTCTGAGCACTTTAAAGAAAATTTTAATGATTGAGTTCCCAAAGTTGAGTATTTTTAAATACGAGTTTGATTTGCGCTAGAGATTATTGAATAATGAGTATATTTAAAATAATCAAGGGTTGCGAGCGAAACATTAATTATTACAATGAATACTTTTTTTATGTTTATGACAAGGCAGGTATTTATTGATTTATTTAATAACATTTCAAATTAATTTATTTGACATTAATAACGTTTCAAATTAATAATTTTGTCAGTTTTATATGAAATTCATGAATAGCTTTCAGAAAATGTTCGACAGTAATTAACTTGTAATATTATAGAAAATAAATATTATAGAGAAAACGTTTTATAAGTCCTATAAAATATTATGTTTTCATTGTAAAATGTTGGAATAATGTACTTTGTATGTAATGACTTTGTAAAATAACACTCTTTAAAAAATAACTCAGTAACTAAAATCATTAATGAATAAAGTAGCTAGTTTATATCTATATATATAAAAATGAAACCCGTTTCGCGTTGTCACGGCATCACGTGTGAACGGCTGAACCGATTTCGATAATTCTTTTTTTTAAATGTTTGTGGAAGTCCAAGGATGGTTCTTACGGAAAAAAATATTGAGAAAATCTCTACGCTAAGGCGGTACGAAGTTCGCCGGGTCAGCTAGTTTATGTTATTTTTGTAGTAAAAATGTATTTATAAGTGTTTCTTTGATATGTCCTGTAATAAAATAATACGCTTAACTATATTTTTATTTAAATTCGCTAAGTTTTGTGCTTGTGTTTATTTGGAACTCTATTGGAACACGATTGTTGAATGTTGTTAGAATTCGGCCATCTTGTAAATATGACCACAGAATAATAATAAGTACTATATGACGTTATACTCGTACCTACCTGCATTTAAAAATATAATGTCATAATGTTCTCAATATCAAGAAACCAGTAACAGTGTAGGTCGAGCTTATTTGGAAGATTGTTGGATTCTAATTTAATTTAACTTGGATTTTTTTTTTAAGTTTAATTAATCATTGTTATAAGGTAGACAGAATAAAAGGTGTATTGTTTAAAACAATAAATATTTATACCGCAATGATACTTAGGTACATAATGTGTCTAGATTGATGCAGTTATTTTTTGCATTGCAAACAGCAGGTAACCAATTCTAATAATCAAATGATTGGTTCTCTTTGAATTCAATTTTATCTCACTTAAGGGTCAAATTGAAACCACTGCGTTAAAAATTCTATGAACGCTTTCATACATTTTTAATAATGTTTGAATTTATCTTTCTCTCTTTCTTTAAGTTTCAAGTGTGAAGCTTTTTCATTTTGTCAACCGACTTCAAAAAAGGAGGAGGTTCTCAATTCGACCCGTATGTTTTTTTTTTTTTCTATGTTTGTTACGCGATAACTCCGCCAATTATGAACCGATTTGAACAAATCTTTTTTCGGCGTATAGGTAATACCTCAAGGGTGGTCCCATTTAAATTTAATAATAGAAAAAACAACCCCCAAGGGTGGAAAATTGGAGATGAACTTTTTTATATGCAATATCTCCGCCGATTATAAATCAATTTGAACGATTATTTTTTTGTTGAATAGATATTATCAAAAGGGTGGTTTCATGCGAATTTGAAGAAAATATTTCACCCCCAAGGGTGGAAAATTGGGGATGAACTTTTTTATACGCAATATTTTTAATTTTTAGTTTTTTTTTGTGTTCACGCATTTGAAGTCGGTTTTATTTTTTTTAAAAGTTATTTAGAGTTAAGTTTGCCTTAGTTTAAAAAAAATCTGTTTATTGTAAATAAAATACCTAAGTAAGTTACAGACAGAACAAAATAAATGTATCTATGTAACTACTGTATTGTTCCAGAATGACATGAATTGAATGTATTTTTAGATGAATTCAAAGTAATAAAACTATGTGTTGAAAAAAAAAACAAAAGTTATAAGAATTGCTTAACTGATTTGATTCTTTTTGCATGCTAAATGTGTAGTGTAAATGTGGCTAATTATTTAGTTGTTATTACTGTTGTTAAGTCGAAAATAAACAACCGTCGCTTCAAATGTCGAAATTTTTCAGGACCGGGAGTGTCTGCCAGCGCGTCTGACTTATCCCCATTTGATGTGCCCGACAATGATCTACTGGAACAAACCCAGCCGCTGGTAAGTTTGCAAGTTATATTTAACTAGCTTTCCGCCCGCGGCTTCGCCCGCGTGGAATTTTGTCTGTCACAGAAAACTTAATCGCGCGCGTCCCTGTTTCAAAAACCGGGATAAAAACTATCCTATGTTCTTTCCCGGGACTCAAACTATCTCGATGCCAAATTTCATCAAAATCGGTTGCGAGGTTTAAGCGGGAAAGCGTAACAGACAGACAGACAGACAGACAGAGTTACTTTCGCATTTATAATATTAGTTGGGATTACATACACACTGTCCCAAAATTTAACGATACGCGCCGTAGGGTGGACACTGGACATGGTCATGAATACTTTAGGAAAAATGAGAAAAAAAATTAAGATGGACATTTTTTATTAATCTTTCCTAAAGTAAAAAAGTAAGTATTCCTAAACCTTAGAAAAAGTAAGAAAAAAAATTGAGATAAATATTTTTTATTATAAGTAGTCATGCTTATGTCCAGCCTACGGCTTATCGTTGAATTTTGGGACACGGTGTATATTCAAAAATAATCTAAGTTACCTGATTAAGACTCCACGCTAAGAGCCAAAGCACACGATGCGTTGCGACGACGCCGGAGCGGAGTCGCTGCATCGTCTTTCATATAAATATCTGTGGCGGGCGCACGAGCGGTGCGCGTACGGGGTCCATATTGGCTCACCTAAAGTTATTTACCCGGGTTCTATATTGGCTCACATAAAATTCTAAATCCTATTCTTTGTCTTACTACCGATTTGTGTTCATAATAATCTCTCTTCATAATTTTATTTTTCATACTTTTTTTATTCATACTTTTTTATTACTACCATCTACCATCGGAGCTCATAACAGTTAGTAATCATAATTTTTTTATCAATAATGTTACTACCAAGAACCATTTAAATACATAATTTTTATTTTCAGATCTTTTTTCTTCATAACATTCATTGATCATATTGTTTTAATTAATAATGTTGTTACTAAGAACATACTTCAACTCATAATGTTGTTGTTCAGAATAATTTACTTTATAACAGACATACTCGTATCTTTAAAAAAATATATACATATAATTTAATAGAGTAGATAACCATGCAAAGAGCATGCAGCATGAAAGCAAGCATGCAGCATGCATTGGTATCTCCTCGTCTCCGGCGCTGCGGGATGTGCAGCCCTTCCGCCCTTGCGTAACGAGGCTCAGGCGCCCACGCTTGCTTCCGCAGCTTCGGCTTTTTGGATCGCCATCGGCGCCTTCGGCGCCTCGGCGACCAGCCTCAGCCGCTCCAGCTCACCCGGGCGCCTGAGCCTCGTTACAGCGGGCGAGGGCTGCCCTCCCTCCGCGCCTCCGGCTTTTAAATTACACTCTAGGGGTAGGGCAGACAAGACTACGTGGAGTCGGTTTTGCAGCGATTCGTTTCTGTCACGTTAGTTTTGTGGCACAAAATATTGCCTNGAATAATAGTGTAAAATATGGTTATGTTTAGAAAATCTAGGAGAACAAATAAAAGTATAATAGATGTTTATTGCTAATGACATTATGAAGTTGAATGATTCGGAATTATGAACATTAGAGACAGAGTAGTTAGGAATTTTGATTGTTAGGATGAAAAATTTTAGGAAGAACATTTTCGGACTTCCAATTTTCGGAGTTGAAAATTTAGGTAAACTTTGGCGCACCCGCGCGTACGCGTGTAACGGCGAAATCTTACGTAGGTATCGTGTGCTGTCGCTCTTACCAAAGCAATCCAGATGTCATGCGCTACGCCGTTTGATACCACGCTTACGAAGATGGTCGGTGGCCGCACAAATGGTCGGTGGCTGTAGTCAGCCCATTATCGCAGAGCCTTAGTTTCAAATTCAGCCAGAAGAGTCATAAATCTGCTAAGGAAACGATAAGGCTTGAATTGGTGTTTCCCGTACAGCAATGAGCCTCCTCCACTATAGTGAAGGGTTTTTCCATAATCCCCACGCATGGCAGGCGGGTTGGAGACCGCACTCCACTATAGTGGAGGAGGCTCATAGTTCAGCAGTGGACTGTAAAGGGCTGTTGATGATGATGATGTGTACAGCAGTACAACGCCAACTGTTGCAGGCTTAAACTCCACGAGGGGCAAACGTTTACATGATTATTTTATTCCTTGAATCAGCAATCAACCCTCGGGGGTTCATGTAGACCACTGACAGATGTCACTGACAAAGGTGACTGAGTTTCTTCCGCCACTTCTTCTCAGCGCCAGCCCATATTTTATGTTATCCCGAAGTGGTGGTAGGGCAAGCCATATTTGGGACGTGTATAAGCGCCCTGGAAAAGGCCTAAGTACAAGTAATGAATAAACGTTTGATTTGGTTTGATTTGACTGCCATACGGGGTGGAAACGATAAGTGATCTCACTCGATTATTTCCAAACTATACAAGATATCGATATAATCGAGTGAGATCACTTATCGTTTCCACCCTGTATACAGTGACTATAGTCAGGCATCAGGGCAAAGTGCCGAGAGTCTTATACTTATTTGGGAATCGTGTCCTGTCATTTGACTTTTAATGTATTTCCTCGGAACAAACAACGCTGTATTTGTCTAACACCATCCTTGCTAATGCACAGCCGATCGATATAGTCACCGACATTCAAGGCTGAATAACTGTTTGGTGTTTAGTTTACGATTGTCACGGATCGATTCAAAAGCTCAACTCGATAGAATTGTTAAAAACCCAGTTGTATAGAAGTTAACAAAAATTCTGCGCGTTTCTTCGTCACAAACGTGCTGTTCGACTTTTCAAATGTGGATTCTTTAGAAAGATATTGCGTTAATGTGGCATAATGTGATATAATTAATCAGAGTGTTGTTAGATAATTGTCTAGAAGTAAAAACCTAGTGCTAGTAGACACAATTTCCACGGTGTACCATAAATAGGGAGTAATAAGTACAAGTGATTGTCGATGGAGACACACAAGAGGACTTGTAAATCAAAGTGGACTAATAATGTAATGACAGGTAATGATACCTCCACCATTAACTATTCCTTTTACTTTTGCACTAGGCTCGTTAAATTGTCACTGCTTACTTCCAAGTAATCGTCTACTTTAAAGGAAAATCATAATAATTCATAATTTCAACTTCAACTTTGTGATTTAGGACTAGTAATAATGTCATTGTGAAATGTTATTGTTTGCTATAATACTAGCGGCCGCCCGCGACTTCGTTCGCGTAGACCCCAATTTTACCCCCATAAGGGTTGAATTTTGCAAAATCCCGTCTTAGTGAACACCTACGTTCTAAAAGGAACCCCCATGCAAAATTTGCGACTCCTAGCACTTGTAGTTTCTGAGATTTCGTGATGAGTGAGTGAGTCAGTCAAACAGTGACCTATCGCTTTTATAGATATAGATTATGTATTTTGATATTATGGACTCTTCTCAATTATCTTTTAAACGACTTCAAAAAAGGAAGAGGTTCTAAATTCGAGTGTATGTTTCCTGGGGATCCCACACAGACTGGGACAGGGGACAGAGTTTCCCGCCGCGCGAGGACAGCTACTTATTCTTTACACAGAATATAACTTGTTTATACAGATGGGGAGTTCCACCTCTTGGGGATCCCACACAGACTGGGACAGGGGACAACGTCCCCCGCCGCGCGAAGATAGCCACTTGTTCTTTATACAGAATATAACTTGTTTATACAGATGGGGAGTTCCACCTCTTAAGGATCCCACACAGACTAGGACAGGGGACAACGTCCCCCGCCGCGCGATAATAGCCACTTGTTCTTTAAACAGAATATAACTTGTTTATACAGATGGGGAGCTCCACCTCTTAAGGATCTCACACAGACTAGGACAGGGGACAGCGTCCCCCGCCGCGCGATAATAGCCACTTGTTCTTTAAACAGAATATAACTTGTTTATACAGATGGGGAGCTCCACCTCTTAAGGATCTCACACAGACTAGGACGGGGGACAGCGTCCCCCGCCGCGCGATAATAGCCACTTGTTCTTTAAACAGAATATAACTTGTTTATACAGATGGGGAGTTCCGCCTCTTGGGGATCGCACACGCACCTGGATAGGGGACAGCGACCTCCTCCGCGCGAGGACAGCCGCAGGACGGTGCAGTTCGGTCGCGACGAGGGCTCAGATGGAGACGACGCTGAGGCCAGGGAGTTTCGTCGCTCTCAGTGAGTACCCTACTTATAATTATTACTATTATGAAATATAAAGTATGACTTTGAAATCGTTGGCATCCTTTTAAAATAACACTACCTACACAAGATAATATTGAAATTTTAACTCATTGGATTTGTCTCATATTTGGGGAATGCACTGCGTATCATGAGTAGAGTCTTGTAGTAAAAGGATGCCAACGATTTCTAAGTCACCCTGTATAAAGATACATAATTCGTGGTGTTAGGACGTGCGAGCGCCAAAGGCCTGTGGTATTCAAGATCAAAATTCAAAATGTATGATTTGTTTTGATTATTGAATAGTAGGTACCTACAAATCGTCATATTTTATTTGAAAAATAATTCAAATAAAAGACAAAATAATGCGTTGCTGTATGCCCTACCAGCGAAGGGACAAAGATTAGACAAGTCCCTGAAGAAGTGCTGCAACAAACTGATGCACGCTAAGGCTGAGTTGCACCAACTTACTTTAACCGTAACTATAACAAAAACCGGTGCATTTTGTATGGAATTTGACAGATTTTTTACGTTTTTTTAAAGTAAGATGGTGCAACTCGGTCTAAGTGATGTGCTCTTGCGAAAACTTCCACTTTTTATGCCACTGTCACTGTCAATGTAACAGTGACGTCTACTGTCAAGGTCGATAGTTTGAAATTGAACCAGCCATCAAAAAGCCTTTCATAGGAAATCGCTCGTTCTTAGTTTAACTTCGACAGTTATTGCGTACGCAGACACAATACAATTATTTTAACTTATTAATGTTATAGTCACCAGGATTTACTGGTCCCTTCTCTACTATATTTTAAACGCTAATTATTATGCGGTTGACTAAAACAATGACCTATTATTAATAACGCTATCTATTATAACAAATTATTTTTGTGCATTTGACATTCGAATTCCAGTTCTGCGTTTTAATTACTCAATAATTAAAACTTTAATAATAACCATATAATTTAAAATGTTTATTGTAATTATTAGTTCCAAATGAATAATACAAGAAGTGCAACCATTCTCTACTAATGCCTGATGGAATAATTACCTTTAATAGTTCAATGATAACTATGAAATTTAATGCTAAAACTATTAAATAGGTACCTAGTCTTGGATAAGTAAATGTCACTCTTTCCTAATCATGGTCAAATGTCAATAAAGATACGTAAACTATCTAATGTGAGGCCTTTTCGTAACCTATGAAATGCAATAAAAAGTATTGAGTATTAATCTAAGAAAGAAAGAAAAAACATTTATTTGGTACAAAAAAACAATAAGTAGGTACAATCAACTTAAAAAGCAAAATACATTGTACCAAATTGGTATCTGCTCAGTATGAGGTCATAACGTACTCGAAAGCACGTTAGAAAGAAAGAAAGAAATGTAATTTATTGAACACAGTAAGCACAAATTATAAACAATAACAACACAAAACGAATATACAGGGTGTTAGGTAAATGGGTATATGATCCGACACTAGCCCATGTTAACATGGTCATATAAATGGTATGGTGAAGTCAGAAAATTGATATCTTCATTTTAATTGTTTTATTTTTCATACAAATCGGATTTTATAAAATTAATTTTGTATGAAAATTAAAAAAAATGATGATATCAAATTTCTGACTTCACCATACCATTTATATGACCATGCTAACATGGGCTAGTGTCGGCTCATATACCCATTTACCTAACACCCTGTATAAAAGGCCACTGTGTCAATAGGCTCCCAGCATTTATCCTGACATGCTCATAAGGGCATGTCAAGAATCTGGTCTTCCGCGAGAGCCCTTGATGTGGCTTCACGCATCCCTACAAACAGAGAGACATCGACTCGAGTTCGATGTCTCTTAAAAGGGGTGAGCAAAGAAGGGACACCAGACATTACAATACGTTACGGCCACTTTCTGCTGCAGAAACCATGAGAGAGGGGTGCGTGGCCCACAGCGAACGTTACAACTCACTACTAATCAAAAATTTACTTTTAAATTTCCCGTAAATATATCTAAGAACAAGCCATCAAATTACAGTCACAAGTTTTCCGTGCTACACCTGACGAATTGCTTGTCATTGAATTTGGATTATCTTAAATATGCGATATGAAATCGCGATAGGTCTGATATATAAAACGAAATCGCGAAACGGACTAACTTTTCATTCTCATATCAGGGTGTTTGATGAGTTGTACAGTAGTTCTGTGTGTGTGATTCCAACCCCGACTCCTCGGCCCTGGCACTAGCAAGAAGGGTATGTGACTTACTTACATAAAACAGTGGTTCCAAAACTTTTCTGGACCAGGGATCACTTTGGTTTCTACATTTTTCGCAGGACCATAAAAATACTTATGTAACAGTATTTTCAAAAAAATGACATCTTTATTTAGAAAAGATAGTCATCTTTATTTAGAAAAGATAGTCATCTTTATTTAGAAAAGATAGTCATCTTTATTTAGAAAAGCAACTAAGTACATTTAAATCAATGTGATTTTTGAGCTTGCATTCTTCTGAAATCCTAGTAGGACTAATGCCACGCAGAAGTTTAGCTCGCGAAATTTAATATTCACGGACCACGCTGTCTATCACAATGAATAAATAATCTTTGAATGTTTTGAATCTTTGAACCATATTTTAACTTCTGTAAATAAAATTGTTGTACAAATGCATTAGAAAGCAATATTGATTGTATAGTTTTTAATTATTAAATAATGCTCAGCTATTAGAATAGGGTAAGATAGAAGAAATAGAGTCGACCGCAGATCGCATTTTTTTTTGTAGCAGTGTATTCACATATTGTACGATTCAAGTACGTTTCAGGCAAATTTATTAATGCATAGAAGAACAAGGTATTTATTCCCACCTCATGCCCACTCTTGTGGGTTATGACAGCCTAAAACAAAATAATGTAGTCTAAATTAGTCGAGTTAGTTTACATAAACTAAAGGGTTGTGGCAACCCTATATGTTACAGTTTGTTTTAAATCGTATCTACTTAGGTACCTACTTTTTGGTTGGCCGATAGTTGGGCCCGATTCTAATTTGTATGAAGAAGTGGCCGATGCCAAATCGGTGTAATGTGCGCACTTTCATACCGATACCTTCAGGTTCAATTGTCGTATAAACCAAAACCCTACTTTTCAGGAGAGCCAAAAAACGTTTTTTTTTAGTAAAAAAATCGTAACTTTTTTATTTGAGAAGTTATAAAAAAATGACCAAGAGAAAACATTTTTCAATTCTTGCGATGAAAACGTCTAGATATTTAAAATATGGGCATCTTCAGTAGTTTTAAAGTTAGCTTGGAGTTACGTCCTTAAAAAAGGCACTCGGTGGTTTATACGACCCATTATATTGGACCTAAAAATAACTCTTTACGTCGTATTTGATTTTTTAGTAAACACGAGACTGAAATTGACGGCTTAAAGACCATTAGATGTAATTTTTTTGGTTTATATACCCATTGTTAAAGTGATTTATTCAAATGTATTATTAAAACTATACATGTAAATAATGTATTGTTTACTATTTCCAGGCTTTTGTTGTTTAGAGAATTTGCACAAAGATATTTAACAGTGTAAAAACTATATTTGGTTGAGGTAGAAATAATAAATTTGCTTGCATACGAAAAATAACAAGTTTATTGTTTTTTTACAATTTTGCAGGAAAATTATGGCAAAACTAATAATTTTAAACAAAACTAATCACCATAAATTTTGAACAAAAAAATACAATTACAGCAAAACATTAAGACAGCTTTCCTGGTTCTCTGCTGACGCATATTGAATTCGTTTGGTTATGATAAATTTTGCATAAAGAGAAGAGCCCCAGTATGCTCAAGAGAAGGATTTGTATTTTTATGAGAATTTCTCTAAGGAATTTATATCTTTACTAGAAACCCAAATTTAAATTACAGCTAAAAGTAAAGCCAAATGCATAGATGTCAAAATTTCAATTATTTGTCCGTCAGACAGATAATTAGAAAATATTAGACTCATATTTTTTATTTTCTTCCATAATTTTTTATAAATATCCTTGGACATTTTTACACTGCGCCGCTAGTCCCAAACTAAGCAAAGCTTGTACTATGGGTACTAGACAACGGATATAAACATACTTAAATACTTTTTTTTTTTGTAAATACATACATATTATACATAGAAACACCCAGACCCGTCACAGAAATTAAAATTCATCATTTCAATTTCTGCCCGACCGGGAATCGAACCCGGGACCTCTCGGCATAGTAGTCCGTTCTGAACCACTACACCAAACGGCCGACAATCTAATAATAATAATTAAATAATAACAATGCTACATCGAGTTGAAATGGCGCGATACGTCACGCTTGAGTAGAATTTTTACTCAAAAGTGACTTCACGCGACATTTCAACTCAATATAACACTGTAATTATTCGATTATAGAAAAAAAATGAGTAATATTTTCTAATTATCTGTCTGACGGACTAAATAGAATTTCGATTTCATTACCTAGTCATCATCCCTAATAGTACTTGTAAAGTAATAAATTATTACAGAGCATATCAAAAGGGTATAAATAGCCTTCATGAGCACACTATGGCTTGTTTTCTTTGTTTAAAAGTCTTGAATTCATCACATTTAGTCGAGATCAATTCACGAATGTACTGGACTTGGAAAGCAACTTTATATACTTACCTATCTAGTTATTATCTTTAAAAGTAGAAACAATCAACTTTTTTTATCTTTATAATTAAGAAAAACTTACTTAATGTCCATACATACATATGTGATGCAATAAATAAATGAATATGAATATGAAGCAGATAATTACCATATTGAAAACGTGGACTTACGACGTTGGATCCAAATATCTGGCGATATGTCTTTGGGCGTAAAAACCATTTTCAATTACAAGAGAGTTTTACATCCTGGCTTAAAAAAATGTATGGTTGATACATCTTAGCAAAAATACCAAAAATAAGCGTTCGGTTTTTACATCGTTTATAAGGTATTTATTTATCTTTTAGGC